ATATATTGTCTTTTGTTCAAAATAGCGTAGTGATCCTTTAATCATATAGATATGCCACGTTTTTCAAACAAATTTACTTTGATTAGTCTACCGCAAACTTTATCCGTTTTTTGGCCTTTTTGCTCGGAACATCACTTTTTTGGGAGTCTGAGTGAAAACAGCTTGGATTCATAGAGCTCGAGCTAACATTTTATTTTGACGAATTGAACTCATAAAACTATTTCCTTGTTTGCTTGCTTGTTCTTGTTATGAAAACTTTTATTACGAAAAACTGCGCTTTCTCGAAAAACTTTCTAAATTTGCTGCTTTTCTTACCGCGAGCCTTACCCCATTTGGGAACGTTCCGCTGCCTCTGTTATCATCATACATGTATACACATGCGTACTACTTACCAATTCTTTTTCTAGTTTCTGCTTTTCGGTTTCAGCAGTTTGACTTGTTTCTGACAATGTTTCAGATACCTTCGAATAGAAACAACATTATAAACAAAAATCAACAATTATATCTTTATTCTCTTACTTGTAATAGAGTTTTATTTATTTCACCTAATTGCAATTCTAAATGTTGTTTTTGTTGTTTTAAACTTTCAATTGTTTTTATTGATTGTTCATTTTCATGTTGAAACTTTTTTTCTAAATCATTGAATTGTGTAAGACCAGATGCCAAGGAATGTTCAAGTTCTTTTATCTTTTTCGTCATTTCGGTTAATTGAATTGTACGGCTATCTAATTCATTCGACAATTCTGTCTTGATTATAGATCGAAAAAAAAGAAAAATTGCAAATATTACCAGAAACTAACGTTCCTCCATCTGTTCATCAACTACGAAAATTAGTTTTTATACATTCTACACAGGATGAAAAAACTTGATCTTCTAGACAGTGTCTTTGCTTTTTAAAGTCTCGCAACGGTTCTGAATTAGGCGTCCATCGATTTTTTTTTCGTATTTTTCAAAAAATTCATAATAAATGGTTTATACTTTCGTAAAAACATGTTGTAACATTCTTTTAAAACGGCAGTTTTGTAGAGAAAACATTTCTCTACAAGATAGTATATAGAAGGTATTTTAGAAGTTTTTTGTTTCCTTTTAGAAAGCGTTTTCCTCAAACCTACGGTCGGTTAAAACCGTCAGTTGTAACCGCGATTTTTAACCGATACGCTTCTCTATCAAAAAGGCTTTTTAAAGAAACCAAGAAATTTTAAAATTAACTACTATATACCATCTTGTAGAGAAATGTTTTCTCTACAAAACTGCCGTTTTAAAAGAATGTTACAACTCGTTTTTACGAAAGTATAAACCATTTATTGTGAATTTTTGAAAAATACAAAAAAAAATCGATGCACTCCTATTCTGAATAGTGCATAGATACATGAAAAGATAAATCTTGACAAGCAAAACGTTACTTCTGTGTCACTATTTAGAGAGATCATTATCATAAACAACAAAAGATTGAAGAGAAGAAAAGATTCTTGGGAAAGACTGAAATTAGTTTATAGATATTTTGTTTTTTTTCGTTCACCTTACTGCTGAGGATTGTTTGAATGGTTTGTTTAATAGTCGTCACATTAGTATTCAATTCATTGTGAATTTCTTCGACTATATTTCCAATGGTTGACTTTTCCTAAAAAAAAATGAAGAAAATAAATATGTATTTTCAAATGCACAAGTAAAAAAGTATACATTGTCAATTGTAGTGAGTATATGTGACTGCCATTCACCATTTCTTTTAAGATGTTCATGCGTTTCTTGTAAATGTTTTTTCGTTTTTCTCACTCCATCGACAAGATGTAATATCTGTTCATCCTAGAATAATTTGATAAACTATATATCATCTTAATATAATATAGATAAAGAGAAAGAAATTTAATCGATGGGTAAAATTCTTTACACAAGTTTAAGTAGAATTAGCAATAAAAGTTAGTTTATACAAGGAAACCATATCTTATTCTCCCAAGACCACATACAAACAGAGGATAAGATCAAGCTTCTCTTCCTCTTTTTCATCCTGTAAGCAAGGATAGAACCAACGGGAGTTAAAAATTTTATCACTGATGCTTTAGATCCTAGCTCAGGTTCTAAATGTTTTTCGAAAATATACTATTCTTCTCAAAAT